CTCATGAGGAAAGGAGAAATTTTGATTGTTGAAATAGAAGAAAATCTGAAGAGCTTGCAAAAAGTTTAGAATGTGAGAGCAGGCCATTTAATCACAGATGGATTCACTGGTAATTGCAAAGTAAATGAAAGGATATGAAAGCGAACATGTAGATGGAGGAGTGTGGGCGAGTTCAGAAAAAGAGGTGGATTTCCCTTTCTTTTATATACGCTCTGGATTCTCCCCCCCCGCCTACCCTTCCTCTGTGTGCTGCTTCCACAGCTCTGGCATTCTCCTGGTCACTCGCATTCATTCCTTGCTCTGAAACTTTGCTTCTCAATATTCACTGTGCTACAAACGCTGGCCAATATACCTTGCTGCCGGTAGTGCCATGTCCATCCTCTGCTCTGGTACCTCATCCTCAGGAAGCAGAGGGGAAAAGCAGGCTGTGGTCAACAGGTGCATTAGAGGCCGATCCACAGTACTTAGTACATAGTAAGAATAATCTCTGCTTTCATCTACCGCACTGGCTCATTCTTTGCAATGAGACATCTAACTAGTAATGAATAACTTGATAAGAAGATGCAGCTTGGAACTTTCAAAGAGCAAAAAAAAATATCACACATGTAAAAGAATATTCAATAGCTTGCAGTGCAACCACAGATAATGGAAGTGTTGTTCTATAAATCACATAAGAGCAAGATTAAAATTTCAGTGTGTATTGATGTCTGCTTTGGCAATTCCAATCGTGTATACAAGAGTCTGAAATTTCACATAGCAGCTCATATAGCTCTTCTGTGAAGACTAAACAAACAATATTCCTGATCTTTTTCCACTGACAGGGTATTTGACACATTTGTTTCTTTGTATTTTAGAAGCTATTTCTTACACTGATCTGTATGAAACACTTCAATTTACTGTTAACGTTTTTAAAAAATCTGCCTTCAAAATTAAGCTGGAATTAATGTTTAACACAATTTTAAATAATTTGAGAATATTTATGTCCTAGGTTTTTTTCTAGCTGCAATTTATCCATTTTAATGAGATGGGGTTTAATGTATTTATTATCATTAATGAACATTCACTTGAATTACTTTGCAGCACTGTGTTCTGGTACTCATATTCACAGTTGCTTATAAATATTATCTTTCTGCTAGGTAACTGCTTTGGCTGCAATTCTAATTTTTTGGGAAGAAAACCAGAACTGCTTGGAAAACGCCCTCTGAATAGTAGAACTTTAGCTAGAGCATACTCTTTCACTGCTGCTACTTTATCAATACCAAAGGTTTATTAAATAAAAGTTTCACTTTAAAAAAGGTGGGTTTTTTTTTTCCTATTCATATTCTGTGCTTCTCTGAGAAGGAATTTGTATTTGTTATGGTTAAGAAAAAACAGTCATATTGCAGAGCAGTGCAAGTGTGCAGAAAAGGAAAGACAATCATCAGATTCCCAAGGCAAGTTTAAATTTATCAGTCTAGATTTCCTCATAGATAGGTGCTCATGACAGTGCTAAGAGGTTGTTTCATTTCATGCCCTAGATTCATCTTCAAGAAGCCTGGAGGTAGTTTAAGGCAAGAGGCTCAACATACTGTGGCAAAGTTACATGGAATTCTTTTAACTGGAATTCTTTTTAAATAGATATACTCCTGGGATCTTCTATCTGGCTTGTGTGGGATCAGTCTTTTGACACTATGCATCTGTTGGTATTTTAGTAAGAGTTCACTCTGCTTCACCAACTTGCAGAATTCAGGGTAAGTAGCTGAGGTCAGTATTTGTAAGCCAGGAAGGATTCACAACAACGTTTGTTTTCCAGCACTTAAATTTTATATTTGAACTACACCATCTCTCTTAGCTAAAGCATCCAGTCCTACTTTAAGGCAAGTCATACGTTCAGTGACAGTTCCAATATCTTGAATTTGATACTGTAGGAGGGCAGCTGCTCTCTCTCATTTAAGCAACTGTTCACTTGGAGATATTAAGTAGCTTCCATCTGGCTGGAAGTGGCTACTGGAAACCCAGTTTAAACAAGAGTTTAAAAAAAGCTTTCCTTAACAGGCCACTTGAATTCAAAGCCTTCAGGAGCATTTCTGTGGAAAAGTTGTCCACCAATCCCCAAGAGCATTTTGAAATCAGACTTGTAAAGGAAACTGCAGAACATTTAACATCAATGAGTGGTCAGAACCAGGTTAATGCATATGTAATTAAAATTAATTTAGGAGTGCTGGTGATGCCATATAGGGATCAGGGTTCCTAAAGGTCAGCATACCGTTTGCTACCTGTGTGACACGCTTCCTGGCTAGTTCAGGATTCCAGTGTTCCGTGCAGTCTGGGAAAGACCGAGAGGTAAAAAGACAGATCTGAAGGGGACTTTGCTACAGTCTGAAACAGAAATTGGGATTTTTTCCAGAATATTGAAAAACCAACAGCCAAAAAGGTCACAAATTATCTTTTCTGTTTAAGCTGCCTTGTCTCCAATGAAGATAGTTTTCACAGACAAGTAATACAGAATGTGTTTAGAAGAAATTTCTGCATCTTTTCTTATGGAGCTATTGACAATCCTTGGTATTATTGGGGAAGTGACCACAGCAGTAGGAAGGGAGGTAAGTAGCCAAACATCCAAAATAAAATTTCATCCATTGTGACCACAGTCAAGTCGCAATTCTGCGAAGTCAGTACCAAGAGGAACACGCCACATGAGCTGTACACACAGGTGCAGCTCCCACTGGCCTCCTGCCCTGTGGTCAGTCAGACAGCATTCTCGGGCTGTGCTGCTTCCCTTGGCTGGTTAGGCAAGGCAAGGAAGAGTGTTCATGATGTAAGAACTAACCCAGAGCAGTACTGTGGGGTTTGTTATAAATGACAGCAGGCTAAATTGTTGCACAGCTTCTTCCCATCCCTGAGCTTGCTCTCATTTGCACCATCAGAAAATGTACCTGTTTCGAAATCCAGTGGCCTGAAAGAAGCGAGGCTGCAGCAGCTCTGTGTCCCCAGGTCCAACCCACATGTGCCAAAACACGTGCAGGCACATGTACAAACCACGTACACAGTACAAACAATCACACAGAGCATCACAGACAGAGAACAACACTTGTGGAATTATAAACAGGACCAGCGGCCTCCTGCCCATCGCCCTCCCAGCTGATCAGGACAAAGGCCTCTGTTTATGGGTAGTACCGACACGTCTGCAGCACCCACTCCTCCTGCAGCCTCTCCACAGGTGACCCCGCTGCTGCTGTTCCAGCCCTGCTCCAGCAGACGCAAACCTCCCCCACCCACCCACACCACCACACTACAGATTCTCCCCCTAGCCTTTAACTGGCATTAGACCAGGTCCACACCGTTAACTGGCCCTTGGAGCCTCCTGTCTCCAGCTGCTTCCCTCACAGAGGGACGAGACAGACAGACACACACAGAGCCCAACCTCTGTTGATGTCCCACTCCCACTTCATGGAAACCAGGCTGCTTCTGCCCTCAAGCAGAGGTTAAAAGGGGCTTTCAGAACAGACTCTCATAGCTTCTCAGGATAACCTTGAGTACCAACAGTTAAAAAAAAAAAATTATACAGATTCCATGAATATACATTAGGAATGTATTTAATTACAAAGTGGTTTTGATAATCTATCTAGAATGTTACACCCTTAAAATCTGGAGTTTTTTCCTACAAAATGCAGTCATTTTTCTCATTTGTTGTGTGTTGTGAAACATTATTAGCCAAATAATCCATTTCCTGGAACAGTTATTAAGCTCCAGAACTTCTTGAGCACACATGCTAATGAAAGCCTGGGACTATACACCAACAGCCACTGTATAACATGGAGCTCTATGCTGCTCCCTGTCCTGCATCATTTTATACAACAGCTAATGTTTGTTACCCATGATCACTCCTGCTTAACTTTTCTCAGATTTGATTTAAAAGACATACTTGAAATTATTGCAAAGCATATTACCTCTTGCCCAACAGACACAGTTCTCGAGTTTTTTGAACAGCATCAACTTCTACAAGAGACGAGATTTAAGTATTTTAAGGTACTTTTATTTAATAAATAACTTCAGTAATAGCACTGTAAAAAGTGAACATCTGTTAACATAAAAAGGCACTTAAAACAAGAATATGACTGTGATGCAGTCTGAATGGTCAAAGGCAAATATACACGGCACATGTCAAGAATGATGTGTGACTTACGTCACATGACAAACTAGCAATCTTAGCTACAGGGTAAAGGCAAATTTACAGCTAAGACTGCTCAAAAAAAAAAAAAGGAAAAAAAGCTTGTGTTGATACAAAAATATTACAAAAAGAATCACAACCAAATACGTTAAAAAGATTAGAAGGGTGACAAAGCACCAGGCTTTAAACCAAGGAAACATTACAGAATAAAGACACAGTATGATGTAAGGCCCTTATGTGTTTGAGGATGTCTTGGTAAGGTACTTCATGATACTGCCACCCCAGGCTTGAATTTACAAAGAAAAACTAAGCAAGTTACCAGTCAGCAACTTTTTCAGTAATGGCACGTGTTTTAAAGCTATTTTCTCCTTCTTAACATTCTTCTCAAACCCTTTCATTTTGACTATAACTTGGCAATAAGCAACTTAAAAATTAAAAATAAGTATGCACACACTTTTCAGTCTTTTACACTGCTCACTTCCAACTTATTCAACTTACCATATACTTAATCATATGTCTAGCAAGAAGATGACCAATTAACCACCAGCTCCATGCTACATGAGTTTCATTATATCTGCAAACTCAAGCCCTGATTTCCCTGTAAAGCTAAAAAGTTTAATACTAAATGGCTAGGCAGAGCCCTCATGCTGATTGCTTTAACCATTTCCCTCCCAGTCCTGCCACCGCAGTATCATACCCTGCAGAAGACCCAGATTCACAGCACAGGAGTGGAAAAGGTCAAAAAGGCACCATGTGACCTTAGCTGACTAGGCTACACAGTCTCAAGTTTTTTTTTGTCAGACCTCTGGCACTGATTACTTTTATTTGAAAAAAAAAAAAAAAAAAAAAAAAAAAAGCAGTTTGCCCTAAATCTATCTTACTGTGACTACAAAAATTGCTACGCTGCATACAGTGTTGTGAAGATATACAAGCAGTGTTCATTTTCCCTCATATTTAGGATTGACCACAGTTGTCACTGCACTCTTGTAAATAGGATTTTCACCCTAGAAAAAGAAAAATATTTATGTTAACATTTAAAGATATAAGAAAGGCACCATGTTTTCAAGAAGTGTAAAAATCAGCTTAAGAAATTACCCATTAATGGTTTGTTTGGACACACAGTTTAAGTCAAACTAGTTTTCCCTCTAGCAACTTGAACAAAGGCATGCTCAGCTAACAAAGCAAAGGGTTAGGCCACAATCCTGTTTGATTTACACTACAGGTTTCCTTCAAAGGCAGCTGAACCTCGTGTGGTCATCTCAGCGCTGAACCATCAACACAAGGGCCTGCAGCCCATGACATTTTTTAAATAGCAGAATAGTAAATTACATTGTTTGAAACCATGTCTAACCACAGACCACATTCTGCTATAATAAACATTTAAACAGCTTATCTTGTATTATAATTTAATTCTAGAAACAAAGTGGAAAGGCTTGTAGTATTTTGATAATGCACATTCAATATTTATGTTGAACATTCAGTACTTGGCATTCTCATTTTATTCCTGCAGGTTCCCCCAGCCCCCATACGCTCAAAATGCACAGTTAAAACTAAAAAATTTCTGTACTGGTGCAAATGCTGTAATAAAACAATTATTTCTACTGACACAAAAAATGCCCACAGAACAACTACTTACATCTCTCTTTCTGAGATTTAAAAACCTCTATATTAAGCGTATTTTAAGCTTCCTTTGTTCCCAGGTTTCCTTTTATCTCGGTAGACCTTACTCTATTTATGGTGTCCTTGCACACATAAGATGAACAACTTGAACTCAAAATCAGTAAGTAAATCTTGGTAGGAGAAGGGGCTATGCTGCAGATGTCAGCCTGAGTGAAGTTCCATCCAGAACCGTACCTGACCTTCAGCAGTAGTAAGGGAATCTCTCTCCCTTTGAAGTGCCCGCCCCCAATCTGAGATGGCCTATGTAACTGTATTAATTCTGTTCTATTTAATTATACAGTGTTTAAAATATTTCAGGTTAAAACAATTTTTCCTACAGGAAATTTTCCTAAAGGAAATCATCCTCCATGACACACAGACACCATTTGTGTCTGTTTTTTTAGGGTCATAAGCCTGGAAAATCAACTGGGAATATCGCAGGCAAGGCAAGCAAAATGTAACTTGGTGTGAAATTTTCGTATCACAATTCCTAGGAACTTTGTTGCCTTCTATTTGCAAGACCTGGTAGGCACCAAGTAACTGGTCTACCCCAACAACAGGAGCTGCTGCTAAGGAAGACCATTGAACTGGTGTTACTGTCTTGCTGCCATGGTTCCTTTCACAGAAAAAGGGTGTTTCTCCTTGAAGTCAGCTTCTCTACAGGCAAAGACCAGCGAGGCATGTCCAGTCCTGCCTAGACCTGGGAGACTCCAGCCTAATCTCTCAAGTCCCATCAGAATCTGGATTGCTGGACAATGGAAGTCAAGATTCTCTGTTCACTCTTCTCAAGATCTAAGTCAATGCCATACAGCTTGAGATGAAGGTGTCCAGTGCTGTCTATACTTCACAAATACATAGCAACAGCAAAAGACCCTTCTCTCAGTTCTCAGGCAAACTCTGTCTTGATTTAAAGTACATCCCGCTACTTGTTTGGAAAGGGATGGGGAGTTAAGATTTTTTTTTTTTTAAATTTTTTTTAGTCATCATGGAAATACAGCATTGTGGCTAGTTCTCGGCCAGACAAATTACTCAATGCTAAATTATCTCCTCCCAATATTTTTAATAAAAAGCTTTGCAATAGTAAAATGTAAATGAAACTGGAAAAACATCCAGGGATGAGGGATTTAATCTGTAACTGAAGTATCTCATTATGCCTCAAAGTTCTTGACAATGTACAGTGTTTGTTTCCTCAACAAGTTTTAATGAAGAATTCTTAAAAATGTAGAAGTTTGATGCAGAGGAAGTCTGTAAGCTTCACAGTCTGCATCATATGGAGACTAGAAGATACTGCACAGCCTTCTGAAGGCAAGGGATTATGTAATACTTGTTATACTGTGCTTTTAACCTTCAACGTTTTACAAAACAGACTACCCCCAGCATATACAGGGAGGTATACGTTTACATTTTCTTGTTTGTAAGAGAGAGATAACTTCTTTCAGATAGTGTTGGAATTGGTCTAAAGGTTAGGACTAAAACTTGGAAATCTGCAGGGTGCTGCTCGTACAATTAATTTAAACTTGCAATCAGGTTTAAAATGTAATTTGTCAGTAAGATTGTAAATTTTTTTACTATAATGCATTTTCAGGAGAAATCACAATTTTAAATTTATAAGCTCTTTATGTAGCATAAGCGCTATTTACACAGCAATTGAAGGGCTGTACTGTCTTCCCTTGTACTTGCATGTTATGTTCCCAAGAACTCTTAGAAGCACACAGTGGGATTTAGGTCACTGAATAAGGCACCCAACCAGGTATCTCCCCATGTCAGTAGAATGTCTTGGTTCCCATAACAAATAACAGAGATTTAGTCAACACACAAAGAACTATTCAGCTTAACCCAACCTTATGCTGGATCAGCTAAACAGCCCTTGAGGCTCTACTGCCTGTAACCCCAACATGGATTTGCAATTCCTTCCCTGCTATCTTTGGTTAGAGAGCCAGTGACAGCCCTGGCATTTCCAGCCATACTTGATCACTATGTCTCAGCCCTTGTCTTCTACAGATACCTTATCATTAAAACTAACACGGAAGTAGTAAATAAATGTCCACTAGTCCAACACAACTCTCTTTGCTTAGGGCCCACCACAGCTGGCACATGGTATGAACTTTCAGAGACTGGCAGCATTCCAGGTTTTTAACTGGTCACTAAAATGTGGTATTCCAAACTTGCTGTCTTAGACAAATACTGCTGGTTTTAAATGAACCCATTTTCTTTACACCACTGCAGAGAATGCACTGGTTTAAGCATGCAAAGTTAGGGAAAACATGTTTGCCACATGCCCCTACAAATGAAAACACCATGCACACTTAAACCAAAATAAAAATCAACAAACAGTAACTATATACAAGATCAAGACATTCAAATAAAGATGGAGGGTTTTTTTTAAAAGTACCTTCAGCAAAGAATAAAGAGCTATGTTCTTGCAACAGTATTCATTTTCAACTAGACTCAACCTTCTTATTCCTTTTTTCTCCATGGAGTTACTGTTTCAACAGTCACTTAAGCTACCTTTATAGTGAGTTTAAGTTCTAAGTCACTGCAAGAAACTGCACTCTAGACTATTTAAATCACCCACATATACACTGTTCTTACTATTTTTGGCTCTTGTTAATATCCATCATTATTTTACAGTAATATAAACAGAGTCATCTGTCAATCTGTAAATAGGGCAGTTGAATCAAAGGATGAAGCAAAGCCCAAGGTTAAGGGTAACACCGACGACAGAGGGCGTCATCCACCAGGACTGGAATAGTAGAGGACAGCAGCTGGCCTGCTATCAAGTAAACACTCTTCATGACACAAATCTAAACCAGACAGGCAGTGAGGATGGTAAGGCCCGACGGTGGTGAAACAACATTAAGACAGTAGCTGTGCTGCAGGCCAAGGACAAACCGAACTCTCTTCAACCTAGCTGGCCTGAGCATCAACAGCAAGGATACTGTGGCGACAAGTCATTCACAACATGACAGACCAGGACTGGGGAAGTATGTGGGCACCTGGTCCAGGACAAGCTCTGTGGTGCCGCAGTTTGCGCACTGCAGTAACCAAGTTCACATGTGTGTATGACTGCTGTGGAAGAGGGGGAAGGGTCACACAAACTGCACACTTAATTTTATTGTACACGTATACACCTGGAAGGAACCTACTGCAGCGTAATTTTCTTGTAATGGGATTTCAGATTAATTTTTTGCCTTGGCAATACAAGACAACTCTTTTTTCACCTAAATGAAAGGTTATGTCAACAATCTAAAAACCCTAGAAAAATCTTAGTTGTAGGGGAAAGGAGGACTTTCTTCTTTTTACTTCCTGTGGGTCACCTATTCTGCCAATACTGATTTCCTCCTTTTCGGTGGCCAATAAAGTTAAACAGACCTCCGTCTCTTCCCAAAGTTCTGATATTTCTATGAATACCAAAAATGATAAAGTCATGTTTAAAAAACCCTCACACTTTCATACTTCTAATCTTCGCAGTGAGTGAAACAAAAAGGCAGAAGCCAATCCCTGAATTTACACACGAGGAAAGCTTTATGCAAGAACTACGTTTTGAGGAGAAATGGCAGCACTATTCATTAGATCCTGAAAGTCATGGGGCAGAGAACAAGAGCACAGAATGGAAGTTACACACCGTATGGTTTGTTAGATGTTTATCCTGCATGCAACAAAGTACACAAGAGAACATAACAGAGACTTAACTAGATGGTTTATGTGAAATGTTAGAAAGGAAGAACTACTCCATTTCCTCCCCAGAATAATTGACTCTGAAAAGAAAAATGGAAAGGAGGTGAACGTGGTTGGTGTGGCAAGCAAACCAAACATTTTTACAATCAATTTTGGACACATTGGAAAGTGAAATGACTGCAAAGAGCAAAGGCAAGTATATTTCATCAAGTAAGGGCTCAGAATGCTAGACAAAGTATTCGGAATTGTTGTCACAGAGATGACAGGTAAGAGCTTAAATACTCTTAATTCCTGCTTTCTCCCCTCATTTTTCCTTTCCAAAAATCTTTTGAGTGCAACACTGAAAAATAGAGACAGCAGACAATAAAATTAGAGCTACAGATCATTCCCATCCACTGGCTCCAGAAAAAAGCCCTGGGATATTAAAGGGATGTGCTGCCTTCCTGACTTCATTCCCTTCCCTCTAATCTGATCTCTGTAATTCCTATCTCTCAGTGCTCTTCTGACAACCATTCCCCACCACATCCTCCCTTTCTCATTCCCTCCCCAGCAGCTGGGGATCCCAGGGAAGGAGAAGAACACCTAAAGCATTCAAGAAAGTGCAACCTCAAAAATCTACAGAAGGTTATCTACCCATCACTTCTGGTTTACTGACTTCCTCTTCTGGATACTGCTGTTTCTCCTTGCATATTGAATGTGGAGAGAACTGAAGTCAGCCTTTCCAAAAAGAAATGAGGTGTTCAGGTAGAGTTTAGGAGGGCCTAAAAACTGGGGGAAAATGCATCTAGAGAGGACAAGAACATTAATGGGTTGTTTGGGGTTTTTTTCCTATGGAGTCCCCCAAGCTGGCTGGGCTACAAGTACTGTGATATTGCCAGTTTCAGTAGAAATAAGGATGGAAAAAATAAGATGTGTATTATAAAATCAGTAGAGTTTCACAGTTTAAATACAGGCTAGTTCTATGCTAGGTTAATATGCCAAAGCAGTTAAAAAAAAAATAAAAATCTGTAAGGCTTCTCTGAATGTTCCCAGAGTTATTTTAATAAAACCAGCAATATTTATAGGCTAGGATACCTGAGGAGTATCTGAACTAGCTTTGCAAACATACCAACTTTAAGCAAACTGACTGTTGATTTGAGGAAACAGAAGACAAACCCTCCCCTGAACTCTGTCTCTCCACAATCCAAACAGCTTCTTCGAGCCTAACAGCTGTTTCATTACATATCCACACATTTATCCACACACACACAAAAAAATCACTTGTAGAATAGTTTAAGGTGGTACTGGTGGTATTAGTAAGTAAGCAACCTTGCTGTCAAAAAAAGTTAAAAATTTTCAAGCTGCATTCCTTAAAACCCCAGAATCAAAGCAGTAGTATATAAACTCAGCAAGAATCAAACTGTGATTAACTGACTATGACATACAGTGAGTTTGAAGTGACATGCAAAGGACAAAAAAAAGGAAGAAAATGAAAGAAGATACAAACTGAGACTTAGAGACCAGCTTTACGTCCATAGTTTGGATTCTTGAAATTGTTAATAGGGCTCTTGTATATTGGATTTTCTTGCTGAAGTAAAAGAAATGGTCAATGTCGAATAATTCAACAGGGAAAAAAAAAAAAGTAACATTCTCCACTATCGCAGGAAAAGAAAATCATGCTATATATAAAGAAAAGTGTTAGTATTTTTCTTTCCAGCATAGAATTAATTAATTTTCTTAAATAGAAACAAGACTTCCTAGGAGATTTTTTTCAAATATTCTCTTATCAAGTGTATGTGGGTGTTGACTTCCACAGAACTGTAGTGAAGGGTTTCTGATTAGTAGGATTCCTAAGATTTCCCAGAGGCAGCAACTCTATAGCCTATGTAAGCCTACAATTTTTTGTTGACAGGGAAGATTTCAGCAAACCAGTACCAGCCATGATTTTGTTCCAAGTTACTGAAATCTCCCAACTAAACCTGTGTAAGTATTTAGAAGATCTCCTCCATAAGCATTACATTCTCTTCTTCATTTTATACAAAAGCAACTCTCATCTTCTAATAAACATTTTAATAGTATGTTGTAGTGTGGTACAATTGCACAGTTCAACTGTTCTGTCACCATTACATTCTAACTCAAGAGGTACTTCTCAAAGAGGGTTGGGGTTTTTGTTGGTTGTTGTGGGAGGTTTTTTTGTTTTGTTTTGGGTTTTGTGGGTTTTTGGTTTTTTTGCTAGTGGTAACACATAACATGCTTTGAAGTCGGCATAAAAATATGGATCCTTCTGTTCCTCCATAGGCCAGAAGGTGAGAATACAATCTGAAACATTTAAGGCATGTGAACAAAAAAATCTTCTATTCTTCCTCGACCTCTGTAGCTTTTATACAGATAAAAGCCTCTTGACTTACCGTATCCCACTTGGCATTCATCTTCTCCTTTTCAAATTTAGCAAATTCTCTTCTGTCATGAATGATCATTAGTAGTTTCCAAATCAATAACAATGCAAGTCCAATAAGAACAATTCCAGCAACCACACCAGCTACAATGGGAATGATGTCAGGGCCACTGGGGCATTCTATGGAACAAAGCAGGGGAAGTGTGACTTTACAAAATGGTAAAGGTAATGCACATCCATATGCTTTTGTTATGAAGCCACTATTTTGAATATCAAAGGTATGCCAATACTATTTTCCTTTCAAATAATGAGAGTTTTGGAATGTGGACATCCTGTAATATTTCAGCTTATTTTTATCCTTCTAAGTAGTGTTTAATCTTAGCTATAGAACAATTCATGATCTGGTGATGAAGTGTGCACACTGCTAACCCCTTAAGCTATTCATCTAGAGTATTAGAATAAAATAACTAGCAATTGTATTTTAAACATGCAAGAGCTCCAAGTCAAAGGTGGTGCTGGAGGGATAAACCAGCTAAGAGTACAAATGCAGATTAGCAAAACAGGCTCCACAGACTGTCAACACCATTACAGAGAAAGGGTATTCCTCATTTTACTTCATACAGCTATTATTGTTAGCAGCTAATATAGAGATAAGTAAGAACTTTGCTTTTGAGACAGGTTTTTATTTTCTTAGGATATTTCTTCATCTTGGGAATTGATCTCTGCTGAAATTTAAAAACCCCCCACATCATCTTTGCAGAAAAATATAATGTACTTTCAAAGTAAGTGAATTATGCGTTTGAAAAGTGTAATACAGATGCAAAATGATTAAAGGTGACTAACATAGAAATAAATAAATTAATAATAATAATAATAATAATAATAATAATTAATTAAAACCTAACTGTTCTATTAACATAAAATTTTTAATAATCACAAACTGAACAAGGGCTTTTGCAGAGCTTAATGCATAGACTGAAGGAGTCAGAAGCAAATAAATGTAACTCCTGTGTTGTCAATAGGAAAACTGCTTCCCTCCAAACTTCAGACTCCAAATCTTGGTAGCTGCCTCTACAGGAGTGAAAGAAGTGGGAAGGGACATGACAGGAATTCCCTGGCAACCAATAAGGAACAAGCATCTGCTCCACCAGATACAGCCCTACTGAACAGAGCTTGTTCCTTCAGCACTTGTATGGCACAAAATTAAGGTGCTTCTTGGTGCATGAAGGCTTGATTCAGATTCTAACTAAGGAAACAGAAGTTTATCCAAGAAGAAAAGGTCAGACCTCAAAAGTGTAGGGCAAATTTGGCCTTGTCCTAAAAGAAGATGGGGCTCAAAGTCCTCCTCTACACTTTGGACTACATTTTTAGAGAATTTTAAACATTCTGAACTGAAGTGGTATTTATTTCTAAGAGCCACTAACCACTGATGTGTATTAAGTGATCATCACCCAAATGATCAATCTAAAAATTCCTTCAGTAGAATACCACAGTAAACCTTTCAAGACACAAGTAAGATGTGAATTTTGTTTCAGACTTATAAAAATCAGGTGATCGCACACTGCTAAAGTACAAAAGCAGAATTTCTGCACTGTTAGATGCAACATTCAATGATTCAGACAATACTCTTCATAAATAAATGGTAAATTACTGGTCAATCTCTAGAATTGTTCTCTCTTATTTGTATTAGAAGATTGAAAAAAATCAAGAAGAGTTAACTGTTAAGGATTAACTAAGCAAAAGGCTCTTCAGATCTATTCTTGAAGATACAGCAGTTCAGTAAAAGCAAAGGCCCTCAGCCTGAAATAATTTAAGCAGTTTGCAGCACAGTACACAATTCGGTGGTGGTGGTGGTTTTGTGTGTATGACTGGCCCTCTATTATTAAGGAAAAAAGCAACAAAACCCCACAGACACCATTGTTTATAGCCTGTAGCACAAGCCCAGTCCAAAAAAAAAAAATATTAAAATTTAGATATCTAGGCCTTGCTGTAGGGCAGGTAAACAAGTCTGCAAAGTATGTCAAGTGGAAACATGAAATGCTTTAACAAATACACATACCTGATTGACTTCTTGCTCTTAAAAAAACAAAACCTAAGCCTAAAGGTTTGAAAAAACTAGATCTAGAGAGATATTCTTCTAAAGCCACTCAAGTTCCAGACATCCCCACCTCTCACTTAGGGAATAGGTACCAATGTCAAAACGCATCTAACTCACACAAATCAACCAGAGCTACTTTGTAGTATGCAACAACTGCAAGAATTAACAAAGACAGAGGGAAGTAGACAAGATCATGTTCACACCTGGGGTCTCTACCACGTGGACACTGGCTTCACCGTTTGAGTTGACAGAATATGTGAAGTAGAACCAGCAGTCATCAACATCCTTCTCTTTGCAATGAGACAATGGATCGGGCTGTCCAGGCTGTGGCAACTTATCTCTGCTTTCTACGCGTGTCATGTTGAAATGCATACATTCCTGAGAACATGTTTCCTTCTTTTCTCCCTTATCGAAAGCTCTGCATTGAACGCAGTCCCTGTGAAAGTACACATCAGAAGCAATGTTTTTTAATATGTTCACAGAAGATTCCCAGCATCTAAAGACACATAAAGGAGAAAATGTGGGGAAAAACTCCCAAGAAACCCAGCTTGTTTGCTTTAGAGGTCAGGAAAAAATAAAGCAAGACACAGCTTTTTACCAGCCAGAACATTTATGCACCTTGAGATTAACAAATTTCTCTCCCTGGATGACACACGAGTTTCAGGGGCAGAAAAAAATTTACCTAAATCTCTAAAAGGAAATAAGGCTAAAACTTTTTCAACACCTCCCACCTGAAAAATGAATACTCTCAGAGAAAGCAGTGTTGGTACAAAAGATAGTTACATTGAAACAGTATCCAAGAAACAGACGGGTTAAAAAGAACAAACCGAGTGACAAGCTTTACAGTAGGATATCACTCCAAATAACTCATTGAAAAAAGCACACTGAGCAGGATTTTTATATTAAAAAGACTGTGCTGAGAGAAACCCTTAAAGTCAGCAGCACAAAGCCAGGAATAAGCCCAGTCACTAACCATAAACTTATTTCAAAGTCTCCATGCAGGAAATGCTTGGTTTGTAAAAACCCAGATTTCCAAAGGTAGGGATGCAAATTTCACTGGCCCACAAAGATCTAGGTTTAGTTTTCAACTGTCAGGGTAGTCTGAATTTTTCAACAGTATTTTGGAATAAGAGTTTTAAACAATAAGTTTAGCTAAAGTTTTAACTACTCTGGAAATCGCACAGTACACGTATACTTTTGTTACATTGATTTCAAAAGGTCAAGATGATGGGACTTTACAGCTTGTTACACTATAGACCTATGTTCCCTCCAGCTATGCAGAAGGTTGGCTGCTGACAATCATACAGGAAAAGAGGGGAAAGCTGTAACCTGCCCAAGTCAATCTGAATGGTTAACACTGATTTAACATAATGTACACATTTCTATGCCTAACAAAACATGGCAGGGAAAAAATTTAAGAAATAATTTGCCTATCTGGAAGCAATCAAAATAATGTATCAATAATGTTTTATTTGTAATTATTGATTCTCACCCAGCAACTTCTACTGTCTAAAGGGATGATCTGATGTCCTTACATTTCAGGGTAGAATAAAGCACAATATCAAAAGCCTCATTTTAAAAATTCTGCACACACAAATATCACAAACTCAAATGCATAGAAGCTGGGACTTGATTTTCTAGGTACTTACTTGTGCTCTGCACAGACACCGACACAAGTCTGACACATTTCACATGTGGCACCTTGGAATTTGGGATCTGTACAATTACAGGTGCCACATTCACAGGTTCCTCTTCCATTGCAAATCTGTCCATTAGACGCCATACAGGGAAAAGTATCCAAAGAACAATCGCACGCGCTGCCAGTGAAGTTGGGGAAACACTCGCACACTCTGCATTTGCAGATACCATTTCCTGTGCATTGAAGAGATATTGCAGTGAAATTAAATCTAATATAAAATGGAAAATTTTTGACAGTAAGAAATACATGTCCACCATTTCAGGATAGATACAGGGAAAAGAAAACCCTGGTGGAGAGATAATGAAGATGCTAATGAATTCAGAGCTACAAAACAGATTTTAGCTCCTCGAAAAGCGACTTACAGGTGTTTCTCCCCTTTTTAATTCTCTTACATTTGGGTTTAATTTCATAAACAAAAAAACAAGACTAAGGAAAGCTGATCAAGAACAGTATAATGTGATGGCTATATCTCCTGGGTGGAAAGCATTACAGCACTGCTTCAGTTCACAATTTTATATGTATATCGATACATCGATCACTCCTGTCTTTTTATCTATTGCTAGGCAGATTTCTAAAGCAAGACCTAACAAGATGAGGAACGAACTAACAAGACTTCACAACACAGACAAACGAAACACCTTTGGCTTCCTAGAACACCACCATTCAGCTGCTGTACTTCTGACCTCACCCACCCAACTAAACTTTATGCTCCTTACACCCTCTACACAGGAAACAAGAAAACTTTATCTCCAGAAGGGTGACTTGGATGAAATGGAAAGATCTTTGGCTACATCCCTCCTTGTTCACTGAGAATAAAGCGTTTAAGTCAATACTTATCTGTCACCATATTTTTTGGAACATCACCACCATTGCTCCTATCCTTTGTGGAGCTGATGACCAAAGAGTATTCTGAGCAAATCAGACAGATGAGGTATTCTCATATTACGTTAAAGCTTAGCGGCTTCTCTGTTTTATTTTTGTACCACAGTCAAAATTGAGGTAGTAGTTAAGACTTCTACCAGGTACTTCCATGAGCAAAGCAGCCTAGGAAAGTTATAGGACAAAAATACATGCAAGCAAAATAATTTAAACACTGGCTGCTGGAGTGTTTTCTAAATTGCTTTTGATTTCAAGAATTAACTGCCATCAGGGTCTTATTTCAGGCTCTTAAGGTGTTTTTCTGGATCTTGCATGTTCTAATCTTCACTTATCTTTCAGAATAGTCTCAAGACAGCATCTCACTGGTATCTCGTTGAGCATAGAGTCAAGCACTCACTATTAAAAGTTGAGGTCATTATCTTTTTTTATTGACACAGTGGTTATACTGAGCCAGTTAACATTATAATATCTGGCCAGTTGTCTCAGAATTCTTTACTATAATACCTGAGGGTAATTCTGTAATAAACAGCAGAAGTCCAGTTCACTTTACATCCTTCTTGTATCTGTGGTTCAAGGAAGGTGAAATGGGCATTAACACACTACATGTTTGTCATCATAGAGAGCCATTTTATTAATAGACATTTTCAGTCACTAAATCTGTGGATATTCTCATCTCTCTTATCAAGTAGCTATGGTCTTTAAGCTAAGTTTCACTACTCTACAGGGTAGAGTTGTCAGACTTGAAAACTGCTGGCCAGTTCTGCCTCCAGAAAACTCAAGTAGTTTCTCACCTCCACAAATCAAACCATTTGATCGATCACAATTGAAGTTATCACATTCACAATATTTGCCAGAATACACTTCATTGGTGTTTTCTCTTTTCTTGCATACACATTGTCCACAAATGCATTCTCCATTGTTACTGCATATTTCTGTACTGTTCTCCCTCCTGCAGTAAGCATCCATATCCTCACTATTTACTTCATCTGTACTACATTCACATAGTCTTCCAATACGTCCTTCATTACATCTGCAAGGTAAAAACACGACTGAAAATGTAAACTTGATTAAAAGTCATACAGTAAGAAGACTGCAAAAATATCAGAAAGAACAGGAGTAAGTGATTATTTTCTCAAGGAATATTCAGAGTTAAACTTCAATTGAGATTTCTAGCTGACACCTACATAGGTGTTCTTGGAGACACTGGAGCAAACTGGACTAAGTTGCTTCTATGCTGACATGCCAGGTGAGAAACTATGTGCCACCACCTCTAACTAAATTGCCACATAACCACTATTAATCCCTCTCTCATGTGACAGAACAATAATTATTTTTAAGTGACAGTTCACTGTAGCTGCCGTCATCTTTGAATAAAAAGATCTCCCATGAACAGCAATTATGCAGGGGAGTAGATGATCTTCAGAGCTGCTGAGCACCAGCTGAGATCTCTGGGGATCAGCACTTCTCATTATCAAGGCTAAAATATCAATGAACAAACAGAGGTTGTTAAGTCCATATGTTTTGTTTCATTTTTAATAGGTCACATATTAAACCATGAGGAATGAGAATGTTACACTTTATTTCAGTTACAGTTCACTGAACAGGAACCACTACTGTTTTCGAAAGTCCTGCATCTTGTTTTCCTGCAGAAGATCTTAATTCCATTCTGCTTTTACCATTCTCCTCTCAACAGTTTCCAAAAAGAAACAGTTTTCGCTTTTGCTGTAGGTTTCTCGGGGGGTGGGGGAGAGGAAGGCTTAAACCTTTATTTATTAGGTTGATCTTCAACCAATCTTCACTGAAACTCTAAGATTTTGCTCTGCTTTAATTGTGTGCAATTCCAGAAAATCCGTTATCATTTTACTTATTTTCAAATGTGTAATAAGGAATACATGTGTAATTTAATTCCTGTGATGGGCAATAACGAACATTTCAAAGGCATAAGTATATAAAAACATTGTAAAAAGATTCCAAAAAGGTTAGAAATAAGAAATTCAGGAAGAAGAGACTGAGGTGTCATCCAAAATAAAAGGTGGTTTTTATGATTTTCACTCTTTCTTGCTGTGAAACAACTGGTGGCAATCTGGGTAGGAGCTCCTATCAAAAAACTAGGAAGCCTTTGAATTTCTCAAAATCAACAGAACTCACATTAGAAGGGTATAATTAGGTCAGTATGAATACCTGCAAAAACGTCAAAGTATTTCCATTCAGTTTGTCCCATAAATCCATAATTTTGCCCTATTACATTGACCTCGAAGTTAAATAAAGGAACAAGAAAAGCAGTAAGACCTATATCCTTAAAGGTACTGACTCAAGGCCAAACTTGAATTCTGACTTGTACAATACTGCCAATCTAATAATCAGTATTAGGAATTTCAGCATAGGGATTATTTGCAGAGATAAGGCAGTATGTCAAAATACCCTAAAAGAAACAGGTCCATAACAGCAATTCTTGTCATTTCACTAAAAAAATTCGTTAAAACCAAATAAACCCTAATTAAGGGTTCTTGCTCATACTTCTCTCTTGGGGAAAAAAAAATTACCTGCATGCACCACATTCAAATGTTCCATTTCCTTCGTGGCAGGCTTGACTATTAGGTTCTCCTTCACTTTGACACTGACATTCACAGATGAACTGTAGATTAATTTCCACTTCTTCAGTGAACCCCAGTGGTTTAATTTTAATTGTTTCATTTTGTCCTTTCTTTGGACATTCATTAGCTGTTACATTAATCTCAAATTTAACCTGCAAAGAAAAATAGAATGCCACATTACTAAAAGGAGTTTTGTCTGTACTGTTAAAAAACAACACCTGAGTGTTTAGTTTTTAGTAGCAACACATATACTGTACGTTACCTCATCTCCAATTGAAATGTTAGAACATTTCCTTCCATCTTCTTGTGTGTCATTCACTCCATTCTTGCAGAAGGACTTATAACTGATTGTCACTCCTTTTGGTAGCTTACTGTTTTCCAGGATAACCTCTGAAGAAAGGGACTAAACCAATAGTTATTAGCTAACTTCGAACTGAGTTGCACAAGCATTCTGCTGAAAAGACACTACACAACTATGCACAGTCTAAGTGCCAATCCCATGGGCACACTTGAATTACATAAATTCCAACATGTCAAGAAACACCAGCCCAGGGCTGCCCACAGTCACACCGTGGAGACCCCTTCTTACGGTTGAACCCTGATATGCAGGACCAGGGCAGGTCTCCACAGATGCTGGAGGCACTTGTTTGCCCTGTGTACTCCAAAAGGGAAATAGGGCCCATTTACACAACACAGCTATGAGGAAAATATTTTGGGGCCAAACCTTAGGAGGTCCCTATGGTTGATACAGTCATTTTCTTTGGGGTCAAATGGTTGCAAAATGGCCCTTTTCTCCTTCATGTGTAAAGAAGGCAAGAACTAAAGATGATGAAGAAACAGCGGGGTTTTTGGTTGTGGGTTTTATTTTTTTAAAAGGGAAAACATGGATAATAACTTTTCTTTGTAGTTTTGTTTTAATTGGCTTTAAGAATACATCTTTCTTGTCATCTAACCTCTTATGGCCATAGTGTCTAATATGGTTTTACTGCAATGGTGGTGTATTTATAATTTAGTGTGCTAACTTTGTGGTTTGTATTAAAAAAAAAAAATCCACCTTAGAGTATCTGCCTGAAAAACTTGTAACAATTTAGAAGCAAGAAAAATAAACACAACCTGAATAAAATCTGAACTTACATTGTATGCATCAATGATCAGCTGAATCACATTGCTGGAGTTTGAAGACAATGTTCCCACTGCAGATTTTGGTATCAGATTTTTCAGTTCCTTTCAATATTTACAGAAGTAAAAGGAAAATTAAAGTCTTACTAACAAAGTATAATTTGTACTATAAATATCTGTATGGTGATATAATGCTTTAGTGGATTAACTAGTCAAGACCACGTTCTTCAAACAAGAAGGCTAAAGTGTTGCTGGTGATCTTCATGATTTTTGAGGTTATACACCGCACTACTAGTATAAACAAATATCCAGCCTTTTCTTTTCCTCTGCATTTTCATGTCAAATTTGGTAACAGAATACTAAGACCTCCTCTTGTACCAAGTTGACCACATATAAGGTATCTTCAAGATCTTAAAGAAGCAGCACCACACTTCTAGTGCATTAAAGATAGCCCGATAAAAGATTATTTCCAACAAAAAATAAAAACCACTTACAACTTGAATATAGCTAAAAAAGAAAAATACCTTGTTAGGTTAAAATGATGAAAAATAAGCATCTCCTTTACAGTCATTTCCTGTTTCACAATCACATCCAGCTTTTTAGTTAAACATCAGGAATATAAATAGACCACAAAGGACAATTATGCTCTTTCATAAATGTGTCCCTTGATTCAGTGTCCACAAACCCCTCAGCTATTTTGTTGTAAAAATGTTCATAAAAAGTAGCAATGCAAATCTGTTCTCCACTTCCTTCTACCTATAAAGAGGGGTAAGGAGGAGGGGCACTTTCTCCTTGGAAATTACACATGCACTCAGTATTAATTTGAACAAGTATAAAAAGCTAACAATAAAAATGTGAATAAAAACCACAATGATAATTTCCAAACTTATTAAAATTGCTTGATTTGAAATTAAAATAATTTCAAAGCAAATCTGAGTCAGTCTTTGCATTAACAGGGGGGAAAGAGTACAGAAACCAGAAATATAGGGGTTTTATCTTTACCTTATAAACTGCCTGAAACTCTTCAGTAACAGCAAAGATTGTCTGAATATTGTTCTCACTAAGCTTCTGTACCAGATGAGCAATAGAAGGATAATCCTATGAAAATCAAGCATAAATACAATTCGAATCTGGGACACATGCTAGAAAACAATCAGAAAGACTCTGACATCATAAAAACAAACCACCTTTAGAAACATACATAAGACTTCTAACTAGCAATCTTATGTCACAGTTTAAACTAAAGTAACCTTAAACCCAAACACACATCGAAAAGATTCCATATATGCCCCATGAAGGTAGGTGCTTTTTCCACAAGAACATTATTGTATTCCCTGCCATGTAAAGTCTCCAGGTTAAATCCCTAATCTCAGTGTTCTCAGAAAATAACCTTTGGTAATTTTCCATATGACTTACCTCAGTGAAAACTACTACCTCTTGCACCTTTTCATAAAGACTAAATAAAACTGAATTAATTTTAGGCTTTTACTGAAAAATAGGTCACATAACTTAGGAATATATGAACACACAGAATTTGTGAAGCTTATTGTGTTTACCCCATTCAGTAAATATTCTTCTTTTCACATTTTGTCTGATTTTTTACTTATCAACAAACCATGAAGTCAATTTTATTAAGCATACTTTTATCATAAACTTTGCAAGATTTCAAGCCATCTTAAAAAAAACCAACCCTACCGAGAAGCTCTCTATTTTACATTTTTTACAGTAGTAAAATACTTCTGGCTTTCTGACTAGCAAAATGATAAAATAATGGGACAGAGCCACCACAGTTTGCCAGTGGACATGCAGGGTTATTAACTATTAAAGTTGAAATCCAACAACAAAAATCATAGTGTAGAAGTTGCCATTTCTTGAAATTTTCCAATCAAGACTGGATTAATTCTTGCACATATGCTTTAGTTAAGCTAAAGACACTTGATGCAATACAGAGGTAAATGGGTAAAGTTCAAAAGATGCATCGATCTGAAACTATATTAGATGACCTAATGAATTTTTTTGACCTTAAGCATCACAAAGTATTAATTTCTCTAGAATAAGATGTAAAGACTTACATAATAGTGGCTCATTGTGTACACATTATTTTCCAGATGACATTTCCCATCATTCGGTAATACAATTCCACCAAGTTTACCATCTCCTGCAAAGTGAAATCCAGCATCCGTGGAAAACACTAATAGTCTTGTAACATTTCTCCAGCCAATTTGTTCCTTGGGAAACAAAAAATGGATTTTTGGTATTTTGCACCAATTTATTTTATAGCATTGTGAGATAAAAGACAGACTTTGGAGAAGCCATACTGCAAAAGTGTCATCCTGGAAATCATAATCCACTCAAACCTTAGAAGCACTTGCCCTTAATTAAATGTCTGTTCCAAAACATCTGTTGCAGGCTTTTCACCAAAGGCAAGAAGCATTCTCTTTGAGACATACTTTGGTCTGTTCAGCTTTCACTAGAGTATTCGAAGAGTGGTAAGTTTTCAGAAGTTGGGCATGTCTGTCTAGTTCTTCAATGCGAAGTCCGCTTCTATGTCACTACCACACAGCCTGAACACAGTGGACAATCTTAGCATGTAGAGCACTGCTGCAGTCTCAAACTGGAAGACTGTGGGATGCCTGGCACTAGTCTCTGAAGAATCATCAAGCTTTGACATTCTAGTCCAGATTCGTATACAGCATAGTGCTCACCAGATGACTGCCCTTTTTCACTGTCCCACAATCCTGGCCCACAACTGCAGAGCCTAATTAATTCTGTAACCTACCCTTTCCTGTTTTTAAAAAAATTCTTCCATCAAGTTCAAGTTCTAGTTAATTTAAAGAGATAAGACCATGTAAATGTGTCACATAAATACCAGTTACCACTGTATTGGGTTTGTGTGGCAAGGTTTTGGTGGGGGCAGGCCACAGGGGTGGCTTCTATGAGAAGCTGCTAGAAGCTTCCGCCATGTCTGATAGAGCTGATGGCAGCCAGTTCCAAGACAGACCTGCTGCTGGCCAAGGCTGAGCCCATCAGCAATAGTGGTAGCGCCTCTGGAATAATGTAGTTAAGAAGGGGGATAAAAACCTGTGCAACTGCAGTCAAAAAGAGGATTGAGACTCTGTGAGAGAACCAGCTCTGCAGACAGTGCAGGTCAGTGCAGAAGGAGGGGGAGCAGGTGCTCCAGGCGCTGGAGCAGAGATTCCCCTGCAGCCAGTGGTGCAGCCCATGGTGAGGCAGGCTGGGCCCTGCAGCACATGGAGGTTAAGGGGGGAGCAGAGATCCACCTGCAGCCCCAGGAGGACCCCACACTGGAGCAGGGAGATGCCTGGAGAAGGCTGTGACCCCATAGGAAGCCCAGGCTGGATCAGGCTCCTGGCAGGACCTGTGGACCCATGGAGAGGAGCCCACGCTGGAGCAGGTTTGCTGGCAGGACCTGTGACCCCCTACACTGGAGCAGTCTGTTCCTGAAGGACTGAGCCAATGGAAAGGATCCATGCCAGAGCAGTTGACGGAGGACTGTCTCCCATGGGAGGGACCCCACGGTGGAGCAAGCGAAGAGTGTGAGGAGTCCTCCCCCTGAGGAAGAAGAAGCTGCAGAGACAATGGGTGATGAATTGACTGCAACCCTCATTCCTCGTCCCCCTGCACTGCTGGGGGGCAAAGAGGAAAAACTGGGAGCAAAGTTGAGGCAGGAAAGAAAGGAGGGGCGAGGGAAAGGTGGTTTTAGATTTGGTTTTATTTCTCATTATCCTACTCTGACTTGATTGGAAATAAATTAAATTAATTTTCCAAGTTGAGTCTGTTTTGTCCATGACGGTAACTGGTGAGTGATCTCTCCCTGGCCTTATCTCAACCCATGAGCCTTTTGTTATATCTTCTCTCCCCTGTCCAGCTGACGAGGTGGAGTGAGAGTGACTTTGGTGGGCACCTGGCAACCAGCCAGTGTCAACCCACCACAACCATCAAAAAAAACCCCCAAAAAACCAAAAACCCTAAAAGGCTTATGATTAATACTTTACTTTAAAAATAAGACTCTAGATTGTTTTAGAAAGTCTTGTCTCCATTTATCAACAGCAAAAATAACACGATAACAAAGCAATAAACTCAGTTATCACTTTTTTGGAAGACCATGTTGTACAGGTTCATAGAATGGAAATGAAGAATGCAGTTATCTAGATCAGATCTTGAAAAACAAACAAAAATCAGGTTGCCCTCTACTTCTGCCTGAGAAGCTAGTAGAAGTTACAATTCACCAAACTACTCTGAACCAACAAGAAGCATATAAAGCTTTGAAATAATTTGAGAATAGTTGTTTATTCAGCATTTCATACCCTTTGGAGCAGAACTTGACTCTTTTACAGTTAACTTTAAGAACTTTGTCTCTGGAACGCATCTATCAGCTGTGACTGTGACCTCTAATCAGCACTTTCCCATTTCCTGGTTTCATTCACTCACTAGAGGTCTCTAGTCTATCTTGCTTCACTAGCATGAGATGACATGTTCAAACATCAGCCACCATAACACACTACGGCTGTATTCAAACAATTTCAATCTAATAGAGCAGTAAAGAAAACTAATACACACTTACCCCACAAACTGCAACCTGCATTATTGCATCAAATCCACCTTCAGGAGAATCTAAATTCCCAGAAATGTGCTGTTTACCTACAAGCTCATTGAATTTATTTCCTTCACTGGTAAGGCTGAGCACATTTTTATAGCTAAATGGACTTGTACAGTTCTGGTCACCTGTACAAGGATTTCTGAGTTTGGCTGGTGTTGTACTTATATACGGCATCACAGTTTTCTCCACAAAAGAGCCAAAACCTAAGACAGAACAATAAAAACCCTGTAAGTTGAAGAATGGAAGTCTCTTATTTATATTATGACACAACAGAATGCAAGTAGCTGAACTGACATCAGAAATAGCTCTCATATTTATGTTCCCTTCTCCATAAACACCAAGTACTCCCACATTCCTCAACAGATTCTATGTATTAAAATAGCTGCCATAATACTACTAATTTAACAAAACCCAAACCTCTTCATAAACAGTCATGTGAAAAACATCAGGAAGGAAACTTTTTTTTTTTTTGGAATAGGAAAATCTTTCTTACCAATTCTAAAGTCTGAAGTTATTTTTTCCATTTCTAACATCAGAGCAGTTCCGAGACTTTTCACATTCTCTAAATCATCTTTCATAGAATAGGAGAGGTCCATAAGATAATAAAGGTCAATGGGGTAGTCTTCAGCTCTCTTAAATTTTAGTGAAAATGTTTGGGGTTCCCCTGTTTCAGAGATTAAACAACAAATAGAAACCATTAAAAATTCCACAACTTCACTTCTCACAGAAGAAAGATGCCTTTTTAAAGAAAAGCTTTGAAATACTGATGAAGGTTTTGAACTACAGATGAGTGATTTTTTTTCTCCTGTTAATAAAAATGCTTAACATCAAATTAAGACGAAAAAAATTTCAAGAAGTATTTCTTTAAAATGTTCAACTTCATACTTGTACAGTATTTTATCTTTCCATAGAAAACACTAGCCTGCCAAAAATCAAGCCTCTCTTGCTGCAATTTCAAATCTTCATACTTGCAATATTTTTAACAAGATTTCTGTAAGATATAATAGCACAAATTTTCAGTATCTATTTGCATCCAAGATGACTCAAAAAATTCTCATGGTTTTAGTTTAAAAAACCTCACATTCTTTAATAAAAGAACCACCAGTTCTGGATGGAATATTTCAAATTACTTTGCATCAAATACAGGCTCAGATCACAGAAATGACAGCAAGATAACAGCAAGTTACCATTTTGTTGCAATTGTAAGCCCAGACCCTCAATTTTGCCAACAGAAGCATGTAGTCTTGAGAATCTGGTGTTGAAAGACACTGCAGAAGAATTACATCCCCCCCCACTGGCAAATAGCAAAGTATTATTTTGCCTATTATATATGAAATAAGGAATAGAATTGGAAGGTTTTTTCCCCTCTACTTGTCTCAGTCAAGTTAAATGGTGATATTGCAGCTGCTGAAGTCTGCTTGGTAATTGGCAAACATTTGCTTAATATGAGCAAAATTAGCAAACCGGGGAAACCACTGAAGGGCAGCATGGTTTTCATAAGAAAAAACCCTGCAAAAAGAACAACCACTAAAACCAAAACCTAAAGACTTTAGATTTTCCTTACCTATTGTTTTTAAAAGAGCCTGCAGAGAAAGTAAATATCCCCCTCTGCAAGCACACAATCTGTCAGCAGAGAACTTATGAACAAAAAAGTGCTTATAAACAGAGTAATAATTTTTTGGGTAATTAGGTTCTGGTTGTCCAGGTCCCTCGTATGTTCCAATGTAGAAACTTCCATGTCAAAAGAGGAATAATTTGGTTTGAAGCTGAAAGGGTCACATTAGAAATAAATATGGACAATACCAAAATTGCAAAATAACATTCCTTTCCTCTCCTCTTCATGCAAAGCTTCTTCAGATCATCTTGCATTTATTAAGGCAATCACTACCACGCAGCTGACACTGAGTGCAGGCTCTTATTCCAGGTACGTACAAGGTAGTTGTTGAATGCACATGCAGTACCTGCAATCTCCTTAAGGACAACCTCCATTGTGCTCAAGTACTGTATGAGCTACTAGCCCTGTTTTTTTTTTCCCCCTCATTTGAATGAAATAAAAGTTCTCTTTAGGGCTGGAAATGGTACACAACTACTTTGCTCTCATTACTGTAGTCCTGTGTCCACATTTTTAGCCTCTGGAAAGTAGTTTATGTAGCAATCCAAAAATCTTGCTGCATAACTACAAAACCATTCAGTTCAGACACTCAGACTTCAGGCATCGACAGTACTTCAAGGAAAAGCATATGCTCTCGTAACTTCTCTAAGTTTTTGCTCACTCGTCAACTTTCATTCTAAGAAGCCACACTATAGAAAATAACCTCCAAAATACTGAAAACAAAACAATTCTACCTTTTTGATATATTTATCAATCCATGCTGTATCTATTTTCTCCTAAATTCTATTGGGAACAAGGGATAATATCTAAACTTTCATAAAAATCAAGCACTATTTGGAGTACATAAGCACCTGGGGCTGACCTGAATGGCTCTGCTATCATTCAAGTTATCTGAACAATAGCAGTTTCTGTAACAAAATGGTTACACATTCAAAACAAAAAATGCAGATGCGGTGGTGACAGAAAAATCATCCGAAGAGTAGAATGAAACCGTCCTTACCGACTCTGAGTTTCAGCACTAATTTTTGTGGCTGGATCTGTGTAATGGCCTCTGGTTTCAGCTTCTCTGCAGCACCTATCTTACGATTCGTTACTTCTCTATCTTCAAGCACCTGTTTGTCACCTCGGGGATTTTCTATATCTTCTATAGGACAGCCTTTACTCTTTAGTGCTGCCAAGTCATCACATCGGGCAGATGTTGGTTCTCCTTCTTGCAAAAAGTCCTAGAAAACACAGGCAAAAAAGTATCAAGTTTCCAGCTATCTGCAATTTGTTATACTCTACCCACGATAGCACTTTAAAAAAATTTATAAAGATCAGCAATAAAACACACAGTCCTGAAATATGTTAAATTATACTAAATACATCGGTGACTATTACTTAGTCCAGGAGTTTGCATCTACTTATACTTATCTGTGTGTAAGATGGAAGCAAGATGGGGGGGGAATGTCCAATGTCACCTCTGACATGACATCCTCTGGCAGAATATCCTTTTAAATTGGCTAAAAGGATACTCTAAAAGAGATAGCAGGTAGAAAAAGCTCTCATCTTCGCGTAGTCATCAATAAAATGAACCTATCTGTACAGCCTACTTGGCAACTATCCTCCCTTTTAACTTTTTTTTTTTTTTTTAAAAAAAAAAAGGCTTAAAGATTATAAGTGTACTTTGGTACTCCACAACAAAATGGCAATATGCTGACAGAGCAGGGGAAAGACAGACAACAATTCTTTTATTTTGGGGAAATTCAATCTGAAAGTGAGATCCATAAGCAAAATCAATACGTAACTTCATTCTGAACAATAAGTCACCATTACCTCAAGCAGAACAAAAGCTCTAACCCCAAATGTAAATAAATAAGGCTTCTAATTGAGAAACTTCACAATTTTTGTTCCCTAGAAGTCTAAACTTAGTAGGTCTTTGCTTGATTTTACCAGAAGCTTCCTGGCTGCCTTTAGTTGCTTGTTGGAGGGGAAGTATTCAGCTTCTTTTAGTCCATAGTTCAGATTGGCCAGTTCTGCAATTAGAGAGGGATTTCAGCTCTGTGCACTAGCCAGAGTAGTCATACATGATGCAGGAGGTTTGCAATCAAAGCTTTCTTCTGTGTCTGAGTGTGAACATAATCTCTTTTCTTTCACTTTCTACATGTTAGGGAATTTGGGGAGAAAGAAATAAAGCTCACACTCTGAATCATGGTCCCAAGACTATTTTTATCCCAATAAGCTGTAGAAGCTCTGTGGGTGTACATATATATTACAGTCAACAGGATCAGGAACCCACTTACATCTTTGTTCCACCTTCTGCCATCTGAGTGCTTCAGTAGATAAACAAGAGTCAAAACTTTACCAGCTCGTTTTCTGTCTCCATGCCTTCCATTCTTGGTTGCATAGCAGCTTTGGTTTGATAGAGCAGTACACAGTGCCTTTACTCATATATCCTGTAGGGTGATACAGCGTCCCCGGGAGATGTGAATTCAAATGCTTTGAGGCTGAGGAGGGACTGGAGCCCAGCTATCTTATTCTTGGGTATGCCTCAGTTCTGTAAAGTACCTGGGAACCATTACCACCCTCTGTCATGTGAACTATCACAACTGGATCTACTACATGTTTTATCTTTCTCAAGGTGGAGAGATGTCAACTATCAGAAAATGTTGCAGTTGTTCTGAAATCAGTACCTCTTTTTTTCTGATTATAGAGGAAATTTATGTGTTCTATCAAGAAAAATCTCCATCTCCACCCCTCTTCCCTGCAGCCAGGCACCTAACTTGGGTGGATTTGTTTCCAATCAGTAACTCAAATCCAGACCAAAAAATAATTTTCAGAAAACTACCTAATTGCTTTTCATTCCGCTATTTAGAACTGTCAGTAAGTTGAGGGCTCCTGTGAAATCCAGAAACAAATATCAGTAAATTCTCTATAAAAGGAGTAATATGGTCACACTGTGCAAGTGCTTTTGAAGTTAGCTGTTCTG